TGTCATGCGTAGGCTTCAGGAGCTTATAGTCCTTATGTGCTACTGCATAAGCGTCATAACTTGTTCGTTCTTTCCAGTATTTCAAATAACGAATAATTGCTTCAACATTAAATTTCACCAACTTCCCTATATATGCGTAGATAAGTCGTTAATTATTCAAAATTTACGTCGTTTATTAGCCTTTTCTATTGCTGATGTGTTTTTATGGTAATTTATTACATTCTTCAGTGAATTCATACAAAAGCAAGCTGTGAAGTATGTTCGAGCGTTGCAGTGGATCTTGCACTATTACTACCACGGAGTTTGTTCCTGGGGCTGGTAAGGCGGTGCTCATTTGCCTTTAAAGTAGAAGCTCTCGTTTTTAGGTTTTACAGCCAACACTATTCGCCATACGCAACGGACGTGGCTGAAATTGGCGATGTTTCGCTGGAGTTTGATTTAGGCGTTCCTTTTCTACCGTTCGAACAACTTTTGGCGGTTCTGCCACCGCTCAGCGCCGGGCTTCTTCCCAAACCTTATCAAGTCAGTGGTTTGATTAGAGTTTTGATATGCCTCAGTTGGGAAACTTACCTTTTCAGCGCTTGATGACCGACGAGCAGTCGGTTTTGTACCAATTTTATCCAATAGAGTTCGAAACGGATCTGAATGGTAAAAAGAACGACTGGGAAGCTGTGGTGTTGCTGCCATTTATAGACGAAGTTTGTTTTCATAAAAATCACCTGTTCGAGATATAAGTTTAAAATTCCTTATGCATTAGGAGTTGTTGCTCAAAACTGCTAGAGCGGTAAACAGCCAGCTCAGCGACGAAGAGAAGCATCGCAATTCTCCCGGCTTTCTATTATGTTTCCGATGGGGCCTTTCTGATTTAACCAAACTGTATCGCGGACAGGATGATAAACCGGCCGTGATGTACGTGTGTACGAGGCTTCTGTTGAATGTCGTAATTTTCATTTTCTGTTTGTAGATGCGAACGAATGTCCTCATCGCAATTTCACATCGACCGTTCAGAGATTGTCTACGGTTTGGTGCCGGGTGTCAAGGTCGGCGTGTACTTCCCCGGATTCCCTACTTTCGGACATCTATCGTTCGAAGTATTACTCTCGTCAAAAGGGGGTCGCTTTCGCTGTCTTCATTAAACAGTATTTTCAGAGTGACATTGTTGAGAACGACGAAGGCAATTGTCGCAATGGCACTGCCGGAGAACGGGTTGCTCTCAAGGTGACTGGTTGTGAGCAGGAAAAAGTAAGCTTCGTAACGAATGATTTCGTGCGTGCGTTTTCGTTTTGTTCGCTGATATAGGGAGACTCGTAGATTGCTGCGCTACAGCATACCCTAATAGCAACAGGTTATGTAAGCAAAATTTATTGACCATAATTAATTTTTTATATATGGATTATTGACGAGACACTTTTTATTCTATCATTCATTTCGTCCCAGCTGGAACGCTGAAAAGGCAGTTGCTAACCATTACAGAGTGAAATCTTGGATTGAGATTAAGCTCGCCTACCCGTCACTTTGAGCGATAATATTATTTACATTCTTTTGTTTCGTTTAATCATCTTCCAGTCAAATTTTCACATAACCATGTCAGATTCAAAGTATACATCAAGAAAACTCTAAAATTTTGCTGTATCTTATGAGTATTAAAAATACAAGTAACATGGAAAAGAACTGACTTGTGTACCACACGAACTGTAAAACTGTTGCGCCTACTAAGCATGTGTGACGAAACGGCAGACAAACCCTGCTTGAAAGGAAGAAGAGTTTGTAACC